TATGAATAGAAGATATAAGGTAGCATTCAGCAGAGACCACGCCCGCATGACCGAGCCATGCCACACGATCAACTCCAATTCATTCAATTATCTGTTCCCGCCTTTTCCATCGTTAGGTATTTCTCCGCGTTAAATATTGAATATTTATTTTCCGAGTAGTGTTGTTTTCAGCTTTGAAGATTGTGTGGTTATGGTCTAATGCCACTACAAACCCGTTTTAGTCGCACGTTGTCATTTTCACATATTATATGTATGCAAGTGTAAGAACAGTGTAAACCTTCTCCCCTATACAAGAAGTTATCGTACATTACATCACCCAGCAGTAGGATTAAGGCAAATCAATCCTGTTTAGCGACCAATCCATATTTTACAGATTGATGATCGACCGATATTAACCTGAAGATGGTTTAGTCTTATATATATCTCCAATTATTTATAAATTTATTGCGAAAGACACTAAACTGACGAAGGGTTTTACTTGTTCATTAGTGGAACTATTTTGCAAAATACACTATGAGCAAGAACATCCGTGTTTCGTTCGATGTGGGTAGATCACCAACATATCCTGATAGACAAACCACCCAGTTCAAGTCTTTATTAGTGAATGATAATAGGTTCGGAACTTGGCTTATGCTACCTCTGAAACTAGTTAATGTGAATTCAATAAGACTATAGTTTGTGTACGAAACAAACTGATTTAAGAATATGGGTCATGGAACTTAACACAAAGTTCATTTTTCCGTCTGGCTAAGTGGCAGTTTTGCACTATAGTTAGCGTCAGTTCGTAATGAAACCTTACCTCCAACTATAGATCTCTATCCCTTATATTGTTTACGGACATCATCTAGCGCCAGTAAGTTGGTGGATATGTAGTGGCATTAGACCATAACCACACAATCTTCAAAGCTGAAAACAACACTACTCGGAAAATAAATATTCAATATTTAACGCGGAGAAATACCTAACGATGGAAAAGGCGGGAACAGATAATTGAATGAATTGGAGTTGATCGTGTGGCATGGCTCGGTCATGCGGGCGTGGTCTCTGCTGAATGCTACCTTATATCTTCTATTCATATTAAATATATTGTTTTTTCTTTAGCCTAACCTTGTTCTACATCATGTAATGGTAGTTGATACGATACAGTGAGTTGGTGTAGTCGATGGTGTGACTTCCACGTAAGATCTTATAGATTAGGCAGTTATATCATGACAAATCTACAATTTTAGGATTAGGTCTATTATTAGAGCAGTACTAATATCATAGTAGACCATAGTTCTACAGATATTCTCAAGTTCATTTTAGAGTCTCTAGAAAGTTGTCAATCAATTACAATCTTACCGTAATCACCTGTAGTATACACTATAACATCCGTCACGCTAACCACTGCCAGTCGCACTCTCTTCTAAAACACAAAAGTCACACATGAAATTGGAAATAAAAAATATTTATTTCCTAAATATGAATAAGAAAATTGACATAACCACAGTGAGAGAGGCCACAAGGAATCATTCTCGCATATATGTGGGCGGCTCCGAAAAGAATCATTATCTGGCTCTTGATTCTCAGTCCGTAGACATTCCTAGCCTGGGACAATATGTTTTATGATGGCTGTTTGCTGTATGACGCATCTTTCTTCGTAACAAATCTGAGTATACAGTGTTCCTCGCCAGCAAAGTTATTGTCAAAATAGTGTGTTGCCCCCACAAATTGTCATTGTTTTGTTCATATAGGTCAGCATTTGGTTGAGATACACTCGATCATTTGTACTTCTTCGGACATGTCTAGTCTTGCATATATCGACGAAACGTGACATCTGACCCCACTGTCATTGTCCAACAATTCTGTAATCCAGTAAGCACTTTGGCGGTAAGCGAAGTGGTGTAGAATTACGGTCTCCTTCGTTATTAGTATAATTATAATTATAGACCCAATCCTAAAACTGTAAATATGTCACGATGTGACTATCTAACCTGTAAAATCTTATGTGGAAGTCACATCATTGTATGCACTGATTCGTTGTTCCGCAACATTTATCAACATGATTTATGAAGTTTGTAAAAAACACATTTAGGCTTAAGATAGAGTACTAAATTTAATGTAAGTAAAGACAAGTTATGCAGAATTATCACGACTTCAAGGCTGTCATGCCTTCCGGTTGAATTGAATTAATAATTCCCGTCTTCTCCATCATTGACCTTCTCTTCGTTTCACTTGTTGAATAGAAATCTTTTCAGTAATTATATGCTCGGCTTCAAAGTTCGTGTGACTAGGTTCCCATGCCACAACAGATGTTTGTATTCTACCATCCACTATCTTAGTTAACACATCACACTACAACAAATGAATATTATCATAGCCTCTTCAGGGTTAGACAAGTTTGAAGATTAAAAAGATAATGACTCGTACGTTCCATAATATCTACTATTAAACATAGATAACGTGAAAGGTGATGCGAGTTTGGATGTTTATTCGTTACTACAGCAGCAATTGTTGGTCCGTTTTCTGTGACGATTCTAAACAGTTTTCAATTATGGATTGAAATCTTGAAGACTGACAGAAATTAAAAGAGCAGTCTTTAACTTGCGAAATGAATGGTGATTGAGAATAGTGTGGCTAGTGGATTCATATTCTCGATATCAATTTCGAAAAGAAAGAAATTGCCTGTTAAGTCTAGATATCCCATCATAACTAACTGTATCTCGAAGTGGAGGGGTCAATCTAAGTAATTTCATAGTGCCGGAGAAAATGTATCCGAAAATAATCATCTTCACTTATCTGGAGCTCTCGAAATTCAACAAGGAATGTAAGGTGACTGTGTGGCTTACCATTATCTTTTATATTTCGTTGGTACAGATGTGTGTAACTTTGTTCTGGGAGATCAATAAGTGAGAACAGCTTGCGTCATATTTTAAAGACACATCACGGGTTCAGTAGTGTCAGTAAACTCTTCAGGAAATAATTTTACAAACTTGGTCAACTCAAACCCATCAATCACGGTTGACAGACCACGCAACCAGAGCAATATAAGTTATTGATGTTCAGAGTTAAGGGATAAGGTCCATAATAAAGAAATTATTACCTTTCACATAACCGACAGCCTTCTTTTACATTTATTTATTTTTGAACAGAATAGGACGGAAAAAGTTATGAAATTAAATAAGTGCAGAAATTACTGTGTTCTAATAGCTATTCCATAACTCCGAAGCCAAACAGTTTGAAAGCAAGTGGATATAAAACGTTGAGATCAGTGGATTTTGTATTCTAAAATTATAAGGAAAATGATGCTGAATAGTTTTGTTGATCATTAATGTAGATGATCTATGTCGAATGTTTTGGGAACTACTCAAGTTAGATAGGGCTGGTATGACCGATAGTTAACACCAAAGACACATCACGCAGTCAGCACCTGACGTGGATTACCTTCCTGCTGTATCAAGTTGCTGTGGCTGCACTGAATCTGTATAATACAAAGGACATTATTACAGAAAAGTATTGGTAAAAATGGGAACAAGGGATAAATTGTGACTGCTGCCGCATGGGCCGGCCTATGGCGTACAATCAGTTGGTGCGCGTTGGTTGTCCTTGAACTTGACGATGATCGGCGAACTGTTGGACATTCAGTGATTCGACTGACGGGTTTGGCTAGAGCATGGTGACAGTGCACTGGCCCTACAGTCTGCTCGCGTTACTTGATCAGATATTCGTATTTGTATTACTGTTCATGACACCAATACTTTTGCTTCTCAAATTAACGACAGGCTACTTGATATAATTTGCAGTGAGAAGACATGTCCGCCAAGACGAGGGATAATATGGTACTAGCCAGATTTTAGATCCAAGTACAGAGTAGATATGGTTGGTATTAAATAGACACAGGTAAATTTCAAGTAGCTCGAAATAGAGGCTGATGTAACAAGTTAGGTACGTAAGATATAATAAAAGTCTTCAATCAAGATAAGAACGTTATAATTAGAATCTGATATTATCGACCTCCTCATTCCGTGCAGGCATTTTGTCTTATTGATCGATTAGTTTATTTGTTTAAGTAGTTTAGCGTCATCCCCTACTTGTTCCTCATTCTGTATAAGAAACGGTACGACCAATCTATCAAAGCCTTCCTTTGGTCTTGCTTACTAAAGATAGACATTTAAGGTCCTAAATTCTTGTTGATGTGATTAACGAGTATTAGTTTATTTGATATTAAAAGTCGAGTTCAGTTTATAAGGGATATAGTGAACCTCGTGTGTACTTGGTCAAGAATTCGGAACAACGAAAAGCTGCTAATGGTTGACTTTGTTTAGAGTAGTGAGAATTCGGCGAAGCGGATATGACAATGAGAACAGGCAGTTACAGTAGTATAACCCCGAGTCTTAGTCAAACGACTCTCCAAACCAAATGTACCCTACATTACTTACTACAGGATGATAAACTCAAATTAAGAGGGAACCACTTAAGGGTGAAACACAAAAGAACATGAACAGAAAACACACTCATACGTATTCATGACCGGAGTCTGTAGGTTGAAGAGTAAATCATTGGAATAAATAGTAAAATCAGTTACACATTCATTTTAAGGGAGTTTCGGCATTTAATCTAGTTGTTAATGTACTGAAAGAATATATTTTAAGTATCTCATCAACCAATAATTGTTACTGACTGAAGTTTCGCTATATCACAACTGAAAGAATTAAAAACAGGAATTGTGGCTTAACTTATCAAAAATTCCCACCTTGCAATCTAAAAACATAGCATAAGCAATTGAATGTCCTTTATTTCTATCAAGCAAATTTACAGACAAGCTTTGCTGTTTTGATTTTTCCGTGTATGCTTGGAAAATTACAGGCAATAGTCAACAAACGTCTTTCTAGAAACGCAGGCTGAAAGTAGATGCCTCACATAATAAACCAAAAGACATTTTCAAACATTTAAATATTGACCTAGGGGATACTCATACCGCCTTAGATTGCTGAAGCGGGTCATTTAGTCTGTATTCATGCATGTTACTTTTGCTTGAGTTGTTTTTTATCCTCATAAGTATTTCGAATGGTTTGACTAAGTTCATTAGTTTTAACTTTATTGAATATGTTTTAGGAGAAAATGATTATTTACATCTTCGGGTGATAAATCCATCTACTCTGCCATTTACATATCGCTTAAGTCCTGGTCAAATAGGACCCCATTTTGTACGTAAATATCTTTCTTATTGACTTCTACTTATTTAAGAATACAACATTTACGTCCACGTCATTAGTGCTAACAGAACCTCCTCACGCATGTGAGCTGGTAAGTAATGCACATGAAGTGAATCGAAATATTGCTCTCATAATTCGTGGGTAGGTAATTATCAGTATCATTTCAGTGTAAATAGAGGTTGTAGTTTCGTCACGAAAGCTATTAATGCTCACGTTGCCGGTGCAGTTGCTGTGATTGTTTATGATTTTAACCGCAAGGCTATCCACACATTTAGCATGATTCAGGACGATACTTCCAGACGTGTGCAGATACCATGTGCGTTTATGAATGGAAAAGATGGGTATGTTATTTGTATACTTTTTAAATTTTAAACTGCTTTAGTGGACACAAGTAATTTCCTTTTGTTAGCCGCTTATCTTGTTCGACAGATGGTTGTAAGGAAAAGACCTCCCATGTAGTACGAAAATCAGTTTACTTAAAAGTCACTTAGGCGAATATAAACGGGGGCATTCAAGTAAATGTAGTTGAAACATCAAACCATTTAAAGTTTCGGTTGTGTAGTAGTCCAGTATGATCTCGTGTTACATGCGCCAACCCTAAAGACTAGTGAAGTTTATGTAAACACTCATGCAAACAACTAACGAATGTTATAGCTGATTTCATTTTCCTTTCATGAAATTTATACCGAGCAACAGCACCTGTTATTGTGCATCTGAAATTTAAGGATAGCGGCTAGGAACTATTTGAATAAACTAGCTGGTGAGTGAAAGTGGAACAATCGTCTTCGGACAGTAAGACAATATCATTCGCGTACTCGATATCAGTAACTTTCTCCAGTGGAAGGGTCCAGACCACCACTTCTTACTTACATCAGAGCTGTTTTCAGAATGTTATAGATGAGAATTTTGGGAACGAATAGTGCAGTTAAGTAACTCAAAATCCACTGCTGATCTGGATCAGTGGAGAGGCAAATGCATGAGGTCACTACGTGAGATAATTTGCACAATGAATTCAAGATATTTGCCTCAATAATCATCCGGTGCTTAACAAGAACTCGTAAAGATCAAACTAGAGGAATCCATGCTTGTTTCAGATCTAGCTATGGATGTGTAGACTAAGCATTCGCACCGCCCCAGGTTTTATATCGCAGGCATACTTACCGACTCCCAGCCATAGTTTAATTTCTCGACCCTCAGGCGACATTTGGTCCTGTAAATCGACAAGTTTTAAGGCAGTTTCTGTCATTATAGGACGTACCATGAAAGTACATTAACATTGTATATGCTCCACTCGAACACTTCTGGTCGAGTCCGAGCTTATGTCGAACGGTTACCAGAAATTATAACTTCAAATAGTGTTTGTCTGGGTTGTACATTTCCCCCGTTTTCGTTAAACCTTGTGATCGACATGCTTTTTGAAATGACACCTTCATCGCCTGACATTTTAGGGGCTGATCTACCAGGATATTTACTTATTGACTCAGATGATATAGTTATGTTTGGTGGAGACACTGACACAATGCAGTCTTCTGACCACATCAAAAAACGAAGCAAGGATGTTTTGGATGCTCTTCTCTCCTTCCAACTGCAAAATCTTGCCTCGGAATTGATTTTCCCTGGCATCTGAATCAGTAATAGGGAGTCAAGTAGTTGAATGTACCGATCCTTTCGATTATCTTGAGAGCCTCATCAGTCCTAATGTGGCGGTATCTGACAAAATTTCGGCGCAGATTCGAAAGGTTTGATTGGCTTTTGCCGAAATGTGTGACTTGTGACGCAGGTGGGATATCCGTCTGACAACCAAACGACGAATTTACTGCTCAGTAGTCCTGTCTAACTTTATGGATGTGAAACATGTTGTTTGAAAGTGCAGCATATCCATCGGTTACGAGTATTTGATCATATATATTAAATAAAGCCATTAATAATAATATGTATCTTCGAATCATCGGTTGTTTATTTTGGGACCATCTAATTGCAAATTCTGAAGTGAAACTTAGAATACTCTGTAAAGATGGCAGATAAATCGATGAGTCGGTGAATCTTTGCCGTTTGAAGTCGTTGGGACATGTATTGCGTGCGCTCAACTGTGGTTGGAGACCTTGGCTTCAAATCATTCTAAGTGGCGCAAACGTAATCACTCTCTTTTTCCAGGACCTAGGTTTCCTGACTCCTCATAGATTTTCCAGGTTATTCTTTAATCTATAACGTCTTCGACTACATCTTCGATGCTCAAGCCTTTCTATTAATATTAATTCCATTAATACCTTTAGTAATCTGGGATTTGCCGTGATAATCTTATTTCTCCATAGTAATGTAGTATGAGAATTTAAATAAATGTACACACGTGCAAGATTCTGGATTGCGTTTAACTAAGAAATTTGTATTCACCCAATGAATACTACAGTATAGTTTCTTCCTTTTCCATAATTAAGTTAACTGGAGGTTTTCATCATCAGAGTATGCTAATGACAGTTCTGCTTCTCATAGATGGTATGAAAGTGTTATCCTATAAACGCTCAGAGTGACAGTTTCACTTTCAAGTAGGTAATGTCTTTTCAGGACTATTCTGTTATAGGATTCATTTTAATCGTTAAAAATGATGTATCAGTGCATTTTGGCTGTTTTATCTAGGAAATGTCGTCATATGTGGCGAACCAGTAACTGACGATATCTTAACACGAGTACCAAAGCTTCTTTGGCCTCTGCCTGTTTGCCAATCAAGAAGCAAATATATTCCCCAACAGTTTGCTCTCGCTATTTAATTGTGAAGAACGATTTTTAAAGGTTATCGGTATTTTACTTATCGTGTGTGATGGAAATAAAGATTAATGCTGAAAATAGACGTCGGACAAAAGTTATAGGTGGTTGATGAGTCTATGAATGTTTACTAACGTAGTTAGTCAATATATGTGTTTTGCAGGTCAACCCACTGCTTACTTGTGTGAACCATCCTGGTTAAAAATGGAGTTTGTTGAAAAAAGTCAAAAACAATCAAATCAAAGTTGAGTATCAATCTATGGAGTCATTGATTATTTGGTCGAACTCTATTGGCATTCGGAGACTTTCTGATTAGGTTTCAAAAGAATAGGTTAACTTGAATACCGAATGACCTAATGCTATTGGTTCTGTTAATTTCAGTCACAATTTAACAACTTTTAAGTGGCCGAATTTCATCGGTTTCACACTGTAAATATATGTTAACGTGTCACAGATTATCATTCATTCAATAGGTTCAACTACCCTGGTGATAATTAATACTTACTTGGCCACGCATATATGGCCTCTGCCAGGGAAGTCCTACTCACTGCCTTCTCTTACCAAGGGTGTTGTCTACGAAAATGAGAGGACAAAAAGCGAATGTCCGGCGCTTTAACCGGATTCCAAACCAATGGTGCACATGGGCTCCAGTATCCTACGGGGACAAATGGAGTATGAACCAATTGTTGGTCACCGGCTTCCATGGAACTGCATCTCCTTACGATGCTCCACTGTCTTGTGGATCAGACCTTAAATTCGAAGGCTCGGGGTGTGGCGTTCTAAGAAAACCACCTGCTTCGGTTTGGGCACCTGGGCAGTATCACAGCCCTCACATATATCGAATGAGATTTGTGTGGCACATGTGTATTTGGTGCCTCCTTGCACCAATATCTGTGTTATAATAAAAAAAACCATAAGCTTACTTATCCCGTTATCTATAAATAACGTAGTAATAAGCTCAATAGGAAACAAATTTTAGTCGAATATATATAAGTATTAACTGGTTTTGGTGATTTTGGAAATAGTTAACTAGAGGTTCACATTTGATTTTTCTCTTTAATTTTAAAGGCATTCAATAACCACTGCTTTGGATAATTTAAATCTAACAAAAGCATTAGTTGATTTTCCTGTTAATGTTTCTGTGGTTCCAGTATATCACTTACGTTTAACTCCATGGACATTATGGTAAAGAATAAAATATACATTCAACCTTATTTGCTTCTACAAATCAATGGCTACATGACTATATTTTCTGCATTATGAGTACATGTGTAAAATACTACTTCTTGTATATGACAATGTTTTCATATGACCTACAATTCTTTCATTTAAAAATGAGATTTCCTTTGGTCACATAATTCGCTTACATTATATTCTACGTTTGTTCTTTCTTCAATGGTGTAGTCTCCATTTTCTCATGTAAATAGTTGTTCTTTTTGTTAAACCTGCCTACTATCTCCCAACTGAGTAATTATAGTTTTATTAATACGTGAATGGTTTTTAATATAATTGGATTGTTGTGGAATCTAGGTCATGCGTCTTATCCTACCTAAGACTCATCCCATCTCAGTATTAATGTTCACATTGTAACCACTAGGTTATGTTGATGCCAACCGCTCACGATTTACGTATTTCAATAACTACTCAGTTTTAATTTTGAATATTAACAACAGGGAACTACAAACCCTTAACAATATAGTATACATGTAACAGTGCATGTTAACTCAAGTTAGGAAACGTGGGGTCGGGTAGTGAAAACAGTCTAATCGGTGTCACCATCTTGAAACAACGGGTTCGGTGACGTGGATAAATGCTATGAGTGTCATTCCAGTGACTTTTAAATCGTGCTTTATTTACCGAAGCTGGAACTGGTTGAAAAAAGATAGGTGGTAAGGTTAAAACCTTGTCCCGGGGTATGACATCTATCTGTTTACCGTGATTCCCTGGTTGTGGTCCAAAAGATAGTGCAGCTTGGTGGCTTCAGACATTATCGGTCGTAGGTCTGAGTCGAAGCCAATTGCGATCTTGTTACGATTTTTGCGTACTTTCTATAAAAATGTGAGAACTTTTACTAAAAGGGTTCTTTCTGTCTATATTTTTCTTAAACTTTGAATTAACTGATCAACAATTTACTTTTATCTAATCTACTAAGGTAGCGCTATTTTTCTTAGTGAAGGTTACTCATCACTGTCCATTTGCTTTTCTTGCAAAAATTTGAAACGCGTTATAATTGTAACATATGATGAATACGAAATTGGTTGCAGTGGTGTGAATAATGTCATTCTCCAATTTATCCACTGCCTTCTTGCGGCATTACTGTTGTTTACGAAATTGAGAGGGCGAAAAGCAAATGTCCGGCGCTGTAACTCGGTTGGTGGATATGGAGGTTCCACCTGGAGGAGTTGAAAAACCCTGATTCCAAACCAATAGTGCATATAGGCTCCAGGATCCTGAGGGAACAGATAATGCATGGACCAATTATAGTCACCGGCTACTATGGGACTGCATCTTCTGAAGTTTCTCCACCACATTGTAGATCAGACCTTTAGGTCGAAGGCCCCCTAAGAAAACCACCTGCATTGGTTTGGGCACTCGGGCAATATCAGAGCTCACATACAAACCAAGTGACTTGTGGCGCATATGTATTCGGTGCCGCTTTGTACCAATATTTAAGTGTTCAAATAAATAAATATTCGTCTTCTTCGTTTACGCCTCTGCGGATACGATAGTAATAGGACATAAATCCACTTAATACGACCAATCTCTTTGCAGTTGTGACAAATGACATTAAGGAATGGTTATTGTATACGTAGACAGACGTGCCTCACCATATTAGCTCCAGTTAGTCAGTTATAGTAACTGGACTATTCCTAAATTGTTGCTGTCTAGTTACCACTGGGTATTTAGAGTTATGCTATTTACTTTTTTTGCATGAAGTACTACTAGGTTAGACGCAGGGTATTAGGGAAGGATGAAAAATCAGTTGATGAGGTTGTAAATCTTCATCGACTGAGATGGTTGGGCCACGTTTTACGAATGCCTGAACACCGATTACCACGACGCACAATGCTGACTAGTGTTGGGGATAGTTGGAGAAAAGTTAGGGGCGGCCATACCAAAACGCGGTAACAGTGCTTGAATTCGCTTGCATCAAGTCTGAGCCATGTTGATAGATGTAGAGTACTTGGTTGGGTCCGCGCGAGTATCGTAATCAATGGTTGGAGACTTTGGGTGACATGGCTCAGAATCGATCAGAATGGCGTAAGTGTGTACACTGTGTATCTTCCTTTAAAAGATGAGTTTCATATTCTTTCAGTCAGTAACAACGTAGAACTTCGTACGTACGTACATCAGTTCGAGTTGCCATACCACATTAGCACAGAGATGCAGTTGCCGATTCAAATCCCGTAGTAGTAGAGGTAGTAAGAGTATAAGCAGTAATCGGAAAGATTAGGGTTTGGAGATGCTATTTAAAGAGTATAATCCAGTGAAATAAATTTGGGAAGAGAAAAAAGAGACAAGGAGGAATCAGGAGATTAAAATTTGGGAGAGCACAAAGAGTGTATGCACCTGCGTCATTGCAAACGATTTTGAGCCATGTCATTCAGGGTCTCTAACCATCGGTTGCTATCATCTCGTGGTCCCCAACCAGGTAGTCTACACCTACCAACATGACTCAGTCCACTTGTCAGTGACTTCATGGACTTGTGCCATGTTTTGGTCTGCTGCCCCTACCTTTCTTCCAACCTACTCCTATACCACTGAACATTGCACGTCGAGGCAGTCGGTCGTTGGGCATACGTTCTGTACTATATCCTTACATAATATCTTTCCTTTATATATTACGCCATTGAGTTAACTGCTTCTATTAATCCAGTGTTCGTCTTGCTGTGCTAATGAGATGTAGCAACTTGAACTGATGCATGTATGTGCCTGGTCCTACGTTGTAACTGGCTGACTGACTTTTTTCACTATGGCTAAAATACGGCTATCAAGCTATCTGCAAGCATATCTGGTGCTTAAAATTGGATTCTGCTATTAATATCAATTTGGCTTGAAGTTCTTGATAAATATCTCATGTAACTGAATTTGTAATTTATTACCGTCGTCTTATTTAATGTCTCAATAATCTTCTATTTTTATCATTGACCACTATAAGTAGGAAATAACCATAAATCCAAATGTACAGTTGTAGTACATGATACCGTAGAAAAGGGAATTTTCTTCACTGAAACCTCTTTATATTGTGAAAGAAACAATTCAATCAACTTTGTTGTGTTCCTTTTGTTTTTACAATTCTAAGTAACTGGAAAAATTCCAGGAAGTGATTTCTCCCAGTTATTTGTAAGTATAACAACAATCTGTTATAACTTGCCAATGATTTCCGAAATCCCCGTCGCCAATTGTTATAACTTGTTGTTTGAATGCTACTTGTTATTATCTTTATTTATTTAAACACATAAACGTTGGTACAAGGAGGCACCAAATACATATGCGTCACATAAATCATTCGATTTGTATGAGGGCTGGGATACAGCACGGGTGTCCAGACCGAAGCAGGTGGTTTTCTTAGGGGGCCACACCCCGATCCTTCGACCTAAAGGTCTGATCCACAAGGTAGTGGATCATCGTGAGGAGATGCAGTCTCATGGAAGCCGGTGACCAACTATTGGTTCATACTCCATTTGTCCCCGTAGGATACTGGAGCCCATGTGACCATTGGTTTGGAATCCGGTTAAAGCGCCGAACATTTGCTTTTTGTCCTCTCAATTTCGTGAACAACATCCCCGCCACGAGAAGGCAATGAGTAGGACTTCCCTGGCAGAGGCTGTATTCACGCGGTCGTGTGAGAGCATTTCGAGAGGGAGGGAGGGAGGACCCACCCCACTCTCGGCCATATTAGGGCATTTGGTGGCATTTGTTATATCTAGTCGTTGCTGATTGTTGTATCGGAAGCTCTTATCACTTAGACTCAAAACGAGGGACCTCTGCAATTCCCATAATGCGAAAGGAAGAACATAAAGACTGGTATAAGTGAATATTTATTAACCCTTAAAACGCAACAACGACGACGTCGACTCTAGTCGGAAACACGCTCATTTATATATTGATTCTTACACCCATTTTAATTAATAATCAGAATGTAATCACATATTATGAAAAATACTCACAGTTATAGCAAACCACATATAGAGCATAGTTCATCTCTATTGAATACAAGAATATCGTATATTATACAGAATAATATATCATACGAGAAAACAAAACAAATACTACATTGAGTAATCATTACATTCAATCAGAATGGAAGTAATCTTGAACGAAACTCCATCTTATCACAATCTATACTAATAACAACTTACTTGGTAACCATCAATTATTTAACATAGGACTAAACAATATAATAAAACCGTTGTATACCGACTCAGTGGTTTGATGCTTAAGTGTTCTTTGAAGATCGAAGTTCCTGGACTCAAGTTTTGCATGTGGGTTCGTGTATGTTCACTGCCGAAGTCCGATGATGGGACAAAATGGCCATCCAGTGCTTCCAACTTTTTAATAATGGTCCAATATTGATTGGATCATGATCTCAATGAAACCTTATACTTATAAATATAAAAATAGCTTGAACTATATGTTAAGTTGACGTGGATATTAGAAATTGATATAGATTGGAATATAATGTTCAAATACTCTAAACCAGTTTTTCACACTATACTCAACACTTTTCTTAATGATAAGAAATGATTGCGAATTACATTATGGATTGCTTCAATGCGATATGGTAAATCAGCCCTTATCTTCTTACGCTCCTTGGCTCAAATGAGATATCCTGCGGGGTGGAGAGCAACATGCATATTTGTTGTCGACTCATGAATCATCAACTTACATCTGTTTTCCGATTGTTATACGATATGTTCTATGTAGGTATAAACAGTTGTCTACGCAAAATACCTAATGTCCGTTGGCCAGATAACATCAGCAATAATCTACTGTAGGAAAGGACAAACCAGCTTCCATCTGAAAAGGAAATTAGGAAAAACCGCTGGAAATGTATAGGATATACATTATGAAAATCACAAAACTGCATCAGGAAGTAAACTGTAACTTGGAATTTTGAAGGGGAACAGCAAAAAGATGAAAGCCAAAGAACACACAACGTAGGGAATTGGAAGATATGAAAAAGAT